AACTCAGCCAGGGCATTGTTTCCAAGTTTATCTCGCCTAGAGCTCTTTGTTCGCCAATAATTTGCCTACGAATGTTGTGCCATTCGGTCGGCTCTTTTCATCAGGTTTGCTCTCATAAACCACTACGAGCTGCGCGAATTAATCACTCCCGGCGGAATTGAGTCATTGCAAAGTTTTGAAAATAAAAATATTGCTTGGATTAAAGCCGATGTTCGAAATCTTTAACATTTCAACTCTCAGGGGAGAGGAGAACTGTAACAACCTTCCTGAAACTGAGCACATTCCCCTACTGGTTTATGCCGTAATGGTTACGATTTGCAATTTCGCATAGTTGCCTACAAGGCCGTCTTGTTTTGCCTCGGTATGCTTCACTACCATTATTTTGAAAATAGGAACGAAACAATCAAACAAACAACTAATAGCGTGGAACTAAGTTTTTTCCCCATATTTCTGATGACTACAGTTCTTCAACTGTCTCCTAATAAATCATTTTAGAATATTTAACAAATAGTTTTTGTAATTCAAAGATCGAGATAGCGTATGAAAAATAGTAAATAGTAACATTTAAAAAAAAGATTACCTTACTTGGTTCTTAATCATGTTGGTCCATCGATTCTTCCTACACATAGTAACTTGTCACACACATATCTACGCACGCACAATCCATTTTATTTTACTCAATTTTTTGATATCCGGCCACCAAATGTAGCAGATTTGAATTCACGCACCAATTAGCATGGTCTCAAAACATTTACAGCTCATTTCGTAACATGAACAAACCCCTACTCATGAGTTGTATTGAGTAAGTGTTGAAAGTTCATGTACAATAGACCTTACGGTATTTTAAATAAGAATTCTTTCCCTGAGAACTTTTTGTGATTATTCTTAGTTCCCATTTTACTGTTTATAACGAAGTTTTTCGTTTTCTATTAAACGCCGACGTGATTGCCCATCGGGTGGAGAAGGGGCCCTTTCCAAAAAGTTAGTTAACCGATAAAGAGAAGTAATTGCTAACAGTTCCGTACTTCTGCCGTACATTTTAATTACGGGGACGAAAATTAATTTTCTCCGGAAAAAATACCGGCGGGGCGGGGTTAAATCGTTGGGATAAGCCGAAAGTTACGTCAATAAATGAGGAAGAAGTCGCTCCCCCTGGCTCACCAAGGAAATTGCCACTAAATTTAATGCCCTATATCACGAGAGTCATATCCTCCCCTTGTCAAAATCGTTCTTACCCCATAACTTCATATTTTCGGAGTCGTTAAAGACAAATTGTCTTCGGAATGGTTTTTGGCCGCGTTCGCCACTCGGAAACAGGAATCGCGGGTCATGTACCGGGTCCTCGACCCTGGAATATTTAATTTTTCTTTGCTCACTGGGAACGGGCAAAAAGGAAAGATTCGAGGTAATTGTGCGGGAGAAGAGGCGCGTGGATTGGTCAAGCTCGTAGATGGCGGAACCAATGTCTATTGGTACAGCGGTCTTTTTGTTTGCCCAGTCGACAATGGACTGGCATGACAATGGCCATGCCTGTAATTTCACTATGAACTTCTTATCCAAGTCCCCGAAATCCCATCTCCTCTGGAACTAATGCCTAAATTGTCCTCTTCTTTCCACTTTCGGTCCCATTATTCAAAACCAGTTCGGATCGCTTACGTTCCCAGGTTTGTTTTCCTGTTTTCATCCCTTTAATCCATTATCGCCTTTTCGGAAAAGAAACCGTTTTTAAAAAGGACAAATGTCGCTTTTAAGTGTTTTCTATCTCTTTCTATCATCAAAAGCTTTAGTCTTTTGGCTCTTTGCTTTGTCCGAGAAACGATTATGTAGTCAAGTGAACCATAAAGTGGTTACAGATGGTGGAAGAGTCATGGTCTTGTTCCTTCTCCTCATTTCGTTTTATACCCTTTTTATCGGAAGGCAGTAAAATGGTATCGGCTATTAAACAAAGAAATGTTATTTTATGCTGAAGTACAATACTTAAGTAATCGTGCATAATAATGTATCAACGATTAAATTTAAAAATTAAGGCCTACAATTTTTATAAACTCAGCAATTAAATAGTAAAGGAAAATAATTTATTACATATTTAAGTCAACGCCTAAAAAATTTACATTAAACGCAAAGCCAGTTACAAATAATACAGTTTTAAATGTTAGTAGAAACAAGCATTAATTGAAAATCAACTATATAAATAAATTATAATGTTCCAGTGGAGTACAGTCCTCCCTCAAACCATATTTTTCTCGTGTCCACGGACCTAGGCAATACAATAAATTTTAGAATAGGGTTTGCCGAGGGGAAATTATTTATTTTGCAGAAGGACCTCAACTGAGAAAACAACAAACATTTGTGTCTATAGGAAAAGAAATTAATCAAATCCGTTTTGGAACGGTTTAAGTTAATATTTTAGCAGGACAAAAATTTTGCAACCACGGCTGTTATTACGTCTAGCTTTATTTTAATGAACGTCTAAATCTCATTTATCTAGATAAGTTCTTGTATAAATTTATTATACTAATAAGTTTGGAAAAAAATATTAATGGGGAATATTTATTTGCTTACGTTTATTATGGATTAGCGACAAATTTAGTGTCTGTGTTTTTTTAAGCATCTCAACTTTTGGGTTATTTAACTGGGCAAAAGATGCGAAATCATTATTTAAACATGATCGATGTTTATATCCTGTATGAATAAAATTATACATAAACGAATAGCTGTAATAAAAATCACATCTAATTGTACTTTTATATTTATTATTTATTGGATTAATGGATTGAATTAGAAACTTTAAAAAATAAATGTTTAAAACTTGGTTGTTTTTTTGCTTTTTATAAGTAATGAATTTTTAATAGAAATTTGCTATAATATTTACCAAACAAACTTTCATCATGAAAGATTTAGAAGCACAATTAAACTACCGTTAAAATAAACTAAATCGATATTCCGTGATGATTACCTTTCTATACTAATATAGTTGATTCTAATAATTAATGAAGTCGTTAAAAACAATCAATTTTAGCCTATATTTTAGATTCAGGACCTCAGCAAGGACCTGATTATCAATTTCCTGCATTATTTCGATCTAGTCGATTTCTGTGATCTTCTTTTGTACTATTATTACAAAATCAAGAAGTTATTGTTTTGCTTCTCTTTTTGTTGGATATTTTTCATCTCGATTATAAAAATACACTTTATTTATTTAATTGTTGTTGATTCATATAAATTTTTAAAAAATATTCTGAGGAGGAGGCGGAAAGAGCTTCGAAATTCATATACTAAAAAATAAACCGTTTGAAAAGTTTAAGCAAATTTATATTATCCAGAAAAATCAAGAAGATTTTCAAAAAACAATAGCCAACGTACAGACTCATACATATAAAAAAACAGGAGACTGAACCGACTTGTCGGACTTCTATATGAACTAGTTGGAAGAAAATCTGACATGTCGACAAGAAACAAAGTGACACTAAAACACAGTACAGATACCGATTTGGACTTACGCTCTAGAACCATGGGGCACCTCTAAACCTAACAAAATCCAACGAATTCAGTCTTTCCGCATTCTAAGTCCTCAGAATCATAGTCAACGCACCCTGCTATGTCTCCAATACAACTCTCCAAAACGATGTCAAAATACCCTTTGTAAATAAATCAACCCTCCCCCCCCAAAAAAAAATAGTTCCCCGATAAACTATCACCCCAAACTACTAACCCCATCCATGTCCAACATAATCCATCCCTATAATCCCGTCACACTAAAGTGGAGATGAACTAGCACTTGTCAAGCTGGGAGAACAACATTTGTTGCAAGACCCCTCATAACAAAGTGTATTGTAAATATGTTTGGTATTCCATTAAATTACCAAATATATTATTTTACACAGATGGTAATGAATATTTTATTAGAACAAAATATTTATAATCAGTTCTTCTATTCGTAGAACGTACATAATCAAATTCGCCAATTTATATAGTATATGTATTTTCAAACTACTATTATTGTATTTATCAAAAACTTATGTTTCAAAATTGTAAATAGATTTATTATATTTGTTAACCTTTTGAATCAGTAATTATAGCTTTATAGTCCTCTTGAAGGGGATGTATTACGATGGAAGCGAGCATTTTGTTGTTTCTTATTTTAATGGAGTCATCCTTGATCGTCTTTTGATATAAAAGAATAGGGGATTTGTTATAAATGTTACTATTGAACCAGGATAGAGAAAAAGGCTATGTAATGTTATTGCACATGTATTAACTGCATAATGGAAATGGAATAAGACTGCTTTTTGTTTCCTTGGTGTAATTTCAATTGTATACTCAAGTTGATTTATAGTTAATGAATATAAATTATAATTTTAGTAAAATAAACGTTCTTCTTGTAAAAGCGGTTCATTAATGATTGCACCCTTTATGAACTCAGTTGGACATTTTTGAAAATAAAAACATCCAGGAAGTCAAAACAAAAGGCGTCTCCTGTGGATGATAGATGTTTATTGCAGAGTATTTTCGCTGAATATATACGAGATGTTTCTGCTTCTTGCCGAGTTCAATCTCAAAAATTATCTCGGAACAAAGTCGTAAACTGTATGCCACCCTACTTGCAATACCGTCCCGCCTTTTTTTTTATCTTCACCCTTTCTCTTATGCCATTTTACTTATATTCTCCGTTCCGTCTCGCCGGTCAACATCAATCTGCAACTATCTCGGCCCGGGGGTTCTTTTTATCGGTTAAACACCGGGTAGCTTTCTTATCGATGGCCCCTCTTTGGTTTAACTATTTAATTAAGCAATTCCATGCCAGAACGTTCCACTGGCCAATAATTATCCCTTGATTAATTCTGTGCGCCGCGATTAAGCCGAACAGTCACGGAAAGCTCGCGTGGGCCCTCGCTGGTGTCCACTCGCTGAAAACCGATAAAGGGCTCCTTGTTTACTTTTGCCTTCTTATCACCACGCTATTACCTCCTTAGCCTAATTATTTACACGACGGTCTTTAGGTCTCAAAATGGATGATTTATGGCCCGAAGAGTTGACTCGGACATGAGACGCATTGCGGCTTAAATGCTGGGCCTGTGAAATGAAACATGTGAATTTGCTTCCCTCGAAAAAGCTGAATATCTCAACTCAAAAATTTAAGTTCTAAAGTAAGCCTAGCAATTAATTTACTGATATATTTTATTGAGGAAATTTTTTTGATATATGTTTCCTTTATTAATTCTAAGATGTTACAGAAAACTCTTCTCTTTTTTAAAAGTAATTTGTACTGAAAAATTATCTAATTAGATTTTAAGCTAGTCATGTAAAGAAATAATTCATCTCAAAAATTGTGAAATGGGTTAAATGTCAGTTTAATAATTACATTAAATTTAGGAGACTTCACTATATAACAAATTGTTTTTAAATTAACTCTCACGTTTCATTTTGGTCATTCACATCTCATTTGTTTCAGCAGGGAAACATATTTTGAGCTTCTCAACGCCTAAGAAGAGAGGCAGGGCAGTTTATAAATGGGTCAGAAGCGGTTTAATGGTATCTCTCTAATGGTATAATAATAAGAAAGTTTGGAGAGCTTGCTGCAGGAAATGGCTTGTCATCAACATAAGTTTCATTTTCGGACTAACCTGTTTCCTTTGAATCAAAAATTAAATAAAAGAGCGTAAACGGTTTTTCGTGATGTCTTTTCTGATTAGACAGGGAAATTCATCACAAGACTCGTACGTTCAGCAAAAACTCTTTATTTCACAATTAATCAATCTTTTTACGTAACGTTTTGTTTGGTTGAAATGAAAAAAGTTAGTGTCACGAGCGGGATTCGAACCCACGGCCTTCGGCTCAATACGCCGCTGCCCTAACCACTTGAGCTATTTTACTTTATACCTCACTTCGTAGATATTCTGTTGTCATGAGAATTTAGTGAAAAGGTATACGGCAGTAATTCATAGCTTAATTGGCATAATTGACTATATTGTACGAAAAATAAATTTAATTAAAACAATGTTTTTAACTTAACATTACTCAGGAATCTGATATTTTTATGATACAAAGAGGAAATAATAATAAATAAAATTGTTGCTGTAGGCATTTATCATGACTCACCACATTGCCATTAAATCCCAGGGGTTGAGTAAATTTGTTGAAATATATAGACTTATAATGATTTGATAATGTTTTAAGCAAATAGGTTTTTCCTGTACCGGAAAGAGCATGATGTTCGTTTCTTTAAAGTTAACATCCGCAGGAAACCATTTTCCCTTCTGTCAGCGGTGAATACATTTTGAGAATAATGCATATATTTTAGTGGTATAATTGAGCCACGAGAAAACAAATAAATATTACAGTTTTTCTTATTTTATAAAAGTAAAACGTATGGGTAAACAGGTTATTTTGTTATAAGGAACAGAAATCCGGGAACGTTTTAAGATAAAGGGCTTTTTAGATTAGGTAATTGTTTTTTAATCACAATCACTAAAAAAATGGGTCGATTGGATTTTAATGATGATGATTTTTAAATCATGACCTTGTACTGGCACAGTAATAAACCACAAATATAGAGCAGGAATTTGCTTTGAGATATCAGTGGTTCAACCAGTACCTATTATTAATTCGATAGTAAATTGCAAAGGCTGACAAGATAAGCGAATTCATTTACTAGGGCAAGTAAAATAAATGACAATTTCGATTAAAGCCATTCCTAGCCTAACAGCTGTGTAATGACGTAGAAAGTTTAACATAAAAGTTTGCCTGTCGAACCCTAGAGACGCGATATGTTACATGAAGACTTAATCCTCAAGTATTGTTAGACATTTTCCGAAATGCCTTTGCTTATAAGAAATTTAAAACTTTTCACACAGGGCGTTGTTCCTAAGTGCTTATACCATTAGTGAATGGGGACTTACAAGACTTTGTTTTATCAACGGTATATTAACGGGACTTAACTCGCTCCGGAAAAACATAACTTTCACGTTAGAAATAGAAAACAACAACAGTAACAACTTCCTACATATAAAAAAACTAATTTTCTTAAACATAGACAGAATGAAAACGAAAAACTGAAAATTCATAGGGTGTTATTAAGTTTATATAATTTTTATAATATTTACATGTAACAAAAAATAATAACAAAACATTCTAAAAACACCTACAGAACAGCTATATCGCTAAGTACCAGTAATAATTCATAAAACAATAATAAAATAGCCTTGAAAATTGTCAAAGGAAATTATAAATGTATGAAACTCTCATACTGAGAAATAATCAACTAGACTGAGTTCAGTTATTATTATTTCCTTTGACACGCAAAGCAAACTGTCAACATTTGTTTTAATCATATTTTAAACAATTCATGACCTGAAATGTGTAAATAATACCGATCTTTCAATTTTTAATCAGCTTATTAATTACAATAGAAAAAGTATATTTTTAAAGCAGTTAATCGATATTTTATCTGGCTTGGCAGCTTATAACCGTAAACAAAAACTAAGACAACATCGCCGTTGAAAAAGATTACAAATAATTGTATTTGTAAATATCAAATAGATGTAATAAAAAAAATTAATAATAATAAAGGTATGTTATTAATACACCGTGAGGGTGGTATTTAGTGACCGTTAATTAATGATTATTTGATTGCATTGAGAGTGCACTCTTAACACAGACAAAAATGACATATCTACACTTTGTGCTCTGAAGATGATCTCAATAAAGTTCGAAACGTAGCACGATAAAAAAATGTTTTTCTAAAACATTCGTCGCACCAGACCGCATCTCACGATCTCCCAATAATTAATAGTTATATTTAGTATTATACTTGATTATAAATGTTACAAATAAAAATAAAATTGTAAAAGAGCTGAGGATCACTTTTTAGATTTTGCTATAGGAGGCCTTTGGGCTTTTTTAAAAACTAATATAACTTTTTTCTGACTTTAAATTTCAAAGAACACGTTGGAACTTCTTCTATCTATTGGAAACCGCCGCACATATTTTATCCGTTTCGCTATTATTTTGAGACCGCTCTTTTCTTTATGAAAAGACGGATGGGGCATCGTTTCAAGAGACTTCCCCTCGATACAACAGAATTCCAGGCCGGCCGGGGTTTTTTTACCCTCGGCCATCAGCTTTGCCTATTTCAACGATTTTTTCCTCTATTCTGACGTGGCAGGGTTGTGGAGTGCAGTAAATTTAAACAACCTAGGTCAAAGCATTTTCGAATGAATGCTCACCAAAGGAAACAGTCCCTTTTAACGAAGAGCCCATGAGGGAAAAAACGAGGGTTTAAAATTTCAGGTTCAGCATAAACATGTTGGCTTTTAATTTTACAAGAATTATTCAAATCCTATTGACTTGATGATTTGATAAAAAATATTATAGTTTTCTTTGAGACAATGGAAACGGGGGAAAGTAAATTAAGATATAATTGCTCAATTTCAAAACCCGAAAATCTTTCTCTTAATGAATCCTTCAAAAGAGTTTCGAGAGATGAAAAAATTAATTAAAAGACATTTTTATATCGACGAGGGATTCAGTTTTAATGAGACCTGGAGCTGTTCTGGATGTAAGAAAGGGTAGTTTGTAATTAAGGTAGTCCGATAGGTAGGCGCGGCCCAACTCCGCATTCCAGCCATTCATTAGCTACAGGCCAATTTTTAAATTTTATAATCCTTTCCAACCTGTAAAATCTTCGTCCAATTTTTTTTCGGACTGACAATCCAAGCTGCTTTCTTCCAAAAGAATTTATTGCTGCTAAAGACGGGGGAACAAAATTGATCGTGTCCTGAATCTCTGACTTATTCCACAATATTTGTTCTCCGTCCAAAGATTTTTCGATTCAATCAATACATCATACTTCAACCAAGAGTTTGCGATTTTTAAATACAAATTTAATGTTTTAAATTAAAAGTATTTTTATCAAAAAAAAATAAGGGTTGAAACCACTTTAGCACTTAACAGAAACCCTAAACGACCAAGTAAAATTGTATCATTAAGAACTCTGTAATACAACTCTTTTTATATCTAATTAATTAAGCGGAATTACTTGACAGTGGAGTGATATTAAGTTTTCAATGAGAACTGAATGTACTACCTAATACCTAAAATTTCAACTTGACTTTTTGCTTTACATAAAAGTTTAGAAAGCACTTTCTGCACTTAGGAAGTAAGTACTTAATCAATACTAGCTTATAAAATTCAAAAGGCGTGAATATTACGTTTGAATAAAAGAAGTCTTTCGTTTGTTCAAACTTTTACCACCAGAAAAAGTATAGTTTATTTGTTCAAAAGAATACGTAAAAAGACCGCCATTATTTCATCAAACAAAACTCATTATAGTGATACGGCTGACTAAAAAGGAAGCTACGTGAAAATATTTTAAATTGTTAAATTTATTATCTTATATTTTTATGGCGATTTTGGTATTAATATGTCGCTTTCTCTTCTCGCGATGTTAAGTGTTTTGTTTGTTATAATTAAAACAACTGTGGCTTTCTTTCAATTGCAGATCTTCATTTAACGAACATGAATTCTATAAATGCTTTATTTTTTGAATAATTCCTACGTTAACGGCACTATCAAACAAACCTCTCGGAGGTTTGACTCTCAAAATAAGGGAGGAGAATTATTAATAACAAAGGGGCGACGTGGGAAATCCGTAGCGGGAGGCTCAATTAAGCCCGTAACTAAACTTAAATTTGCCCCCCTCCCCATAACTTTAAGATGGAAAATGAAGTTGGAGCTGTTGGGAGATTATTTGATCCATTGATCAATACTTAGGAATACTTAACGAGGGATTACTGAAATCCTATTGGAGACGGAAACACCTCAGGAGAAGTCTCTTCCATTGAAGTAATTCTTCTTCCTGTCCTCGATCCGCATGGAGTTCCCCCGGAGCAACCCCATTACAAACATGTAAACTTTACTATTGATTCCAATTTCCGAAGATGTTCCTCTTTTAGTTTGGAACTTGCTGTTTAAAAATATTTTTAGAAATAGATAAAGAGAGTCAAATATATAATAAATAAAAATAAATTATATAATTTATATATAATAGGTAAAAATAACCCAGCTATAAAAGTACAACGTTTCCATCATTATATCCGACGCAAGTAAATTCAATATTCTTGTTGTAATTATAACTGGATTATAAAAAATATTTTTTATGTATGCAACCCTTAAAGAAATTTAGGTTTGATACAGATCTTATGAAGAAATTGATTAATTATATTGTATTTATGGCATCATACTCAAAATTATTTTAATTTAATGTCCAAACTGCATATATGGGTTGGAGGTCGCTATAAATTGGATTGTTAAATTGATTTCACGGAATTTTCGTTTGTTATTTGGTGTACCTGAAGGGTTAGTAAGAAAAAGGAACTTACCTTATGGAAACTAGTCTGAATCTTTTTGTAATTTTTTAACCAAAGCTGTTGACCGGTTAATCATTTATAAAAGTTTTATCTCGTTGAAACGGTCCAAGAAATGAAGAACATCAACGTAGAAGAAATGAAGAACAATTGAATTTTCTGGCAATTCTTCCCCCTTGGTCGCAATACTTTCTCAACTCTTATAAATAGTTTTGTGACAAATGGTATACTGTTTACTCCGTTGTTTTTGTAATACCATATAGTTTAGGGTGTTGTGACTTTATGAAAAAAAAAGGTTTTACTCATTTTTTTCTGTTAAATATTAATCCAATTATTTTCGCCTAAGTAAAATTGTATATAATAAAACAGCAAGTAAGTCCTCACCTTCTCTTAAAATATTCATCCAG